ATGTGGCAAGAGAACCAACAGAAACATGAAGGTTTGTGCACATGTAGTTTTCAAAAATTAAGTGTGACTTGATAAGGAGAAGGACAGACTATATCTAGAATCTTGAGTTCAAAGGCTGTTAGTGCTGGAGACCGAGGTCAAACTGCAGGCAATGGTCTGCAAGTGGGCCACAATTTGAGACCAAGGTTGAGGCCTGTGGACAGGGGTCCTGCAATTAAGGCAACAGTTAAAGGGCACACAGGGCTGTATGTTTCAGGAGATCCCTGAGACAGTCACATACTGACTTCCTAGCAACTGATACTGTTGTTTCCTGATTCATCAAGCACTGGCTGGTTAATATCAATATGGGGTGTTTATGCCACATCAAATCCTATCATTTAACTCCCCAACCAGTTTAATGAAAGTCTGAGACAGAGAGCTTTCAGGTCAGCCTCCTTTCTCAGAGAACTTGTCTCTGGCTTTGCTTTCGTAGCCTTTATCTGTATCTGTCTCTTATTTTCTAAATTGCACATCGCCCCCTCCCTAGCCCTATTTGTGTTGCTGCAGGTAGCGGTAGTTTGGCTTTTGTTTTTGTCACTGACCTAACAGTCTCGTTTCTTTGGCCATCATCCACAAAACAGTAACAGGTTTACTTGTTAGCTTGTGTGGAAAATAAGCCTTGACAGTGAGGTTAAAACAAGAGGATTACAACATAAAAACAAACACCCTGTTTCTAAAATGGGTAAAGGACTTGGGTAGATATTTTCAAGAGAAAAGAAAATGCTCAACAAACATGAAAGTATGTTCAACTTTATAAATCATTAGGAAAAAAAGTCAAAAGCACTATGATATCAGGTAGCAGCTGTTAGGATGGCTACCAGCAAACCAACAGATAATATCAAGTGCTGAAAAGGAGACACAAAGCTGACAACCTTGTACACCTGCTGGGAGGCAGAATGAAGCCAGCATGGTACTACAAAGACGTTTGTGGGTTTGGTTCTGATGGCACATTTGGGGGAAAAAACTAAGGAGAAGTATATAGAAAAATAAGCAAAGAAGATGATTACAGAAAAAATAAAAATTTGCTTAAGAAAGAGACTGTAGCAAAGACACATACATGGCTTGGCTGTGTAGTGCACAAGATTTATATATTCATAATTATGTAGACATTACTAATGTAGTCAGAATTTTGATTATTAACTGTATTGAGAGGGTGCAGTGGGACCACATACAAGATACTTAAGTCTTGGGGGAGGCAGCAACATGGTTAGACTGCCACCTGGCAGGATGATATTCTGAGTGCTGGTTCAAATCGCACTATTCTGGGGCCTGGCACGATGGTGCACTGGTTAAAGTCCTTGCCTTGCATGCCCGGGATTCCATATGGGCACCGGTTCTAATCCTGGCGGCCCCGCTTCCCATCCAGCTCCCTGCCTGTGGCCTGGGAAGGCAGTCAAGGACGGCCCAAACCTTTGGGACCCTGCACCCGCGTGGGAGACCCGGAAGAGGCTCCTGGCTTCGGATCAGCATAGCATCGGCCGTTGCGCTCACTTGGGGAGTGAATCATCAGACGGAAGATCTTCCTCTGTCTCTGCTCTCTGTATATCTGCCTTTCCAATAAAAATAAATCTTTTAAAAATGTTCATTATTCTAAATTCCAGACTGTGGGTCAGTTCCAGCAGCCAGCTCTTTCCTTCTGCTCCTTTCCTTAATCTTTTTCTGCATTCTTGCCGAACCAAGGGACTCCTACCCCATTTCTCTTCTCTGAAAACTCCTCATTCAGCCCAATACATTCTTTAGCAGAGACAAGTTAAAGGTCACTGACTGCGCCAGACTCTGCAGGTTTGGTATTAGGGCTAGATTCTCAAAAGTAACTGGTACCCACAATTATGAAAGTATTATTAACTCCAAGATAAACAGATTTCAAATCCACTGGGAGACTAAAGGGCTGGAGGCAAGAACACAAAATGCCCTGGGGATAGCATTTTAGAAGAATGCCAATCGCACACATGTACCTGTGCTAATCATTTTTACAATCAAGAACACTTGTAGTTACCACCTCTACTTGCTTATAATGCTACCAACCAGCCAATCAGCTCACAAGCTAAGTAGAATTCCCAGCATCGAGGAACCTGCACATGTAAAAGTACAAGGTAAAGAGGGCAAGGTAATTTAAATAGGTATCTGTTAGGTGATAGCTGATCTGACAAAAGATCTTCCACCTGGAAGTTTTAGATCTTATGTAGATTACTTGTTTTATGCAAGCCAAGAGAAGGATTCACAACTCTAACTTTTCCAACATCCACAGAAAGGAGCATGCTCCCTTCCATACATTAGTGCTCCCTCAATTCTGGTACTTCTCTTAAACGGCCTTACACTAACCGCCCCCATGGGTCAGCTCCTCCCCAGCTTCTTTGAGATCTGTGACCACGCTCCCAGGATCTCGAGGGCCATATTCAACAACACAATAGCATGTAGGACAAGGTCACTTGAAGGAAGTAACAAGTCTGCTAACAGCACATGGTGGCCATTTGCCACCAGCGCTAAAGGGCCTCGTGAGCCCTCTATGGGTCTGCAATGGGCACTGCATCGTGACCATGTCTTGAACGCAATTGGTCATTTTGTTCTTGTTTCCACAAGAATGCTGAAGAAACACATTAGCAGTTAAAAAAAAAAAAAAAAAGTTGGCCAGCTAAAAAAATCTCCGACAGACAGAAGTCAACACTTCAAAACAATTCATATATACAGCCTAACAGCAAAGTTAAATGGATTCCAAGATGAGTGCATTTTTAAATTAAATGCATTTCAAAAGTCAGCTTAAAATAAGTATGATTACAGCATACAGTATTACTTCCTGATACAGGACTCAGGGCACACAGCCCAGCAACAGTCAGACCATATGACGATTAGGGATTTGATCACGTACATGGTATTTTAGAGACAGGTATATCATCACTAGTTCTGTTACATCATGAGGGGTCAGCACTGTGGGTGAAGCCATTGCTCCTGACGTCAGCATCCCATATCAGATTCCTGGCTGCTCCAACACCGATCCAGCTTCCTGCAGATGTGCCTGGGAAGGCAGAGGGAGATGGCTCTAGTGCTTGGGTCCTGGGCACCCACGTGGCGATCAGCATGGAGTTCCTGCTCCCGGCTTCAGCATGGCGCAGAGCCGGCGGTTAGGGCTATCTGGAGAGTAAACTGGCAAACACAGAATCTCTCTTTCTGCCCCCTCTCTGTGACATTGTCTTTCAAATGAATAAGCAAATGAATCTTCAAAAATAGAAAGCCATGAGAAAACAGAATTACTTTTATCTTTCCCCCTAAAAACAGTAATCTTAACAGTAGTGAGGAATAAATAGTTTGAGATTTACTAAGTCCTAGGCACTGCTTTTTTAAAAAAAAGATTTATTTTATTTTTATTACAAAGTCAGATATATAGAGAGGAGGAGAAAGGGGGGGAAGATCTTCCCTCCGATGATTCACTCCCCAAGTGAGTGCAACGGCCGGTGTTAGCACAGCTACTTTTTAAAAAAAGATTCATTTATTCTCGTTTGAAAGGTAGATTTATAGATAGAGATGACAGAGCAGCATCTTTCCTATGCTGGTTCACTCCCTAATTGGCCCCAACGGCCAGAACTAGCTGATCTGAAGCCGGGAGCCTCTTGCACAACTCCCACTTGGGAGCAGGGGCCCAAAGACTTGGACGATCTTTCACTGCTTTCCCATGAACATTGGCAGGGAGTGGGACAGGAAATGGAGCAGCTTGGATTCAAACTGGAAGCCTTATGGGATACTGACATTGCAGCCAGAAGCATAACCTACCATAGCACATCACCAGCCACACTAATTATTATTATTATTTTTAAAGTTTTGTTTTATTTGAAGAGCAGAGTTAGAGGGAAGGGCAGAGAAATCTTTCATTCTCTGGATTATTTCCCAACTGGCCATAACAGTCAGGGATAGACCAGGCTGAAGGCAGCAGCTTCATCCCCATTTCCCACACTGATGTAGTGGTCCAACTGCTCTTCCAGGCACAGTAACAGGGAGTTAGATCAGAACTGGAGCAGCTGGGAGTTGAACCAGTGCCTTTATGGGAGGCAAGTGCTGCAGTCGGCAGCTTTTATACACAACAGCACCAGCCCATGTGCTAAAATCTTAAAATGCATCAGGCCATTTAACCTTAACAATCCTGTAATGCAACTGTTGGCCTAATCTGCAGAGAAGAAAATGCAGACTTAGAAATGTCCCTAATGCTAAAGCCATGTAGCACAGCAGTTGAAATGCTGGGCTGAGATGCCTGTGCCCTATGAGAGTCCCTTGGCTCCATACCCAACTATGATTCCTAATTCCATCTTCTTGGTCATGTAGAACCTGCAGATAGCACTGATTCAAGTGACTGGGGTCCTGGGATGTAAGATCTCTCTGGCAGCAGGCTCATTAGCTCATACTGTTAACCCTCCGCCTCCAGGTGCTGAGATCCCATTTGGGCACTGATTTGTGTCCCAGATGCTCCAGTTCTCATCCAGCTCCCTGCTTGTGGCCTGGGAAAGCAGCAGAGGACGGCCCAATGCCTTGGGACCCTGTACCCACATGGCAGACCCGGAAGAAGCTCCTGGCTTCGGATCTGCTTAGCTCTGGCTATTTTATCCATTTGGAGAGTGAACCACAGGATGACGATCTTCATCTATGTCTCTCTTCTCTGCAAATCTTCCTTTCCAATAAAAATTAAAAATATATTTAAAAAAAAATCTAAATGAGAGAAAAAGTCTCAGCAACCATATTAATCCAGGAGAAGGAACCTATGGACAAAAAATTCACTTACTTGCTGTTATCTAATTCAAGAAAATAACCTTGCCATGGATACACAGCTCAGAAAATTTATGCAATAAAAACATACTGAGAAACAAAATAAAAAATTACTTTCAATATTAGGTGTATTTCAGATTAAATGAACAAAGTACACCCCAGGTAATGAAACAGTGATTCTTGAGAAGTTAAAAATTTAAACGGAAACAATACACATTAAAGTAGTATTTTATTTACCAACCCTTGAAACATGCCAAAATTCATATTGGCCAGTAGAACTTTCCACAACGAAATGTAGATCAACATTATTTGTATAAAAAAATATTTTAATGTAGTGCCTTCAGTCTGCTCTCAAGAGATCAGCATAAGAACATTACATTTAGGTGGAAACACCAGGTTACAAATATAAGGTAAACATCAAATAACGTCATACTTCTGGCTTACTGGAAAACCTAACAGTGTGTCAGTCCTGACACCTTGGTTAAGTGAGGCAAGGAAATGGGTAGAGTCAGAGGTACACAAAGCTTTAAGGGTTCAGATAATCCTTTGACCTTCTGAGAAACTACAGATGGGAGATACGCAGTGAATATTTCTGTAAATATTCAGTGGTTTCAGTCTACTATAGTGATTCTCATTCTGCGCACACAAACAACTGCTGCTGCTTTTGGTCACTTGAAATCAGGATTGAAAGTCACTATTTACTAAGTTGAAGAAGATACTCAAATCCCTCACATCCAAAAATACAGTTTCAACTTGGAAAGATTAAGGTATACTTGTTACTCATAATTACTTTTAGATATAACTGAAACTACACTACATAATCAGACATACTACTGTGCATAGTTAATTCCAGTTACCATATTTTATAGCTAACGGTCATCAACAGCACAAACAGTATGCACCAAAAGAAATATAATAGCAAAAAGGTTACATTTAATTTTCTTTTAAAGATACAAGAACTAAGTTTAAGGAAGAACCTGCTTTTCTTGATATTTCATTTTAAAACAACTGATACAAACTGACTGCAGAAATAATTATATTTCACCCAGCATCAAATAATCTGGAAGAAGATTCTAAGACAGATGCATTTCTTGTTCAATTTCCAAAAATAAATAAAGGCTTTCTAATTGAAAGTATTTACCTTCCTCACTCTCTAAAGTAAACATTTTAAAACCCCCCAAAAAACAGTACAAACAATGCTCTCTCCTTTGAATAGCTCACAGTTGCTTATTATATGAAGTGTTTTCAGTCCCAACACTTTCTCAAATCCCAAAGATGTTTACTTCCCAAGAACATAACAGTCTTCAGTTCAAACCATTTAGTCCGTTTCCATGGCAACACTGCGGGATTCCTTGGCTACCATGAGCCGCATTAGTTGACTGTGGAATTTCTCAATCTTCTTTACATCTTGAGCTTGGTCTGTTCTATACACCAAACACTGTTGAAATTTTAAAATTACACTTTAAGTAATGCTAAATATTGGCAGTGTAGGAAACATAAGTGAGTAACAACTCCAGTCCTTTCTGCCACGACTCTCTGGAGTCCTACAGGGGAACTGCATTCAAGTTTCCAAGCCTCCAGCAACTTCATTCTTCAGTTACAGGATTTTACCTGCTACTGTTGTGGAACAAACACTGAGTCAACTTCATCAGACCACCTAACCCCCACCCCCATCAGCTAAGGCCCCACGGAGTAGCCTAGAGGCTAAATAGTCCTTGCCTTGAACTCTCTGGTATCCCATGTGGGCACCGTTCTATCCCCAGCAGCCCCACTTCCCATCCAGCTCCCAGCTTCTGGCCTGGGAAAGCAGTCCAGGAAGGCTCAAAGCCTTGGGACCCTGCACCCACGTGGGAGACTCGGATGAAGCTCCTGGCTTCTGGCTTTGGATTGGCTCAGCTCTGGGCGTTGTGGCCACTTTTGGGGATTGAATCTGTGGATGGAAGATCTTCCTCTCAGGCTTCCTTCTTTCTGTATATCTGTCTTTCCAATAAAAAATAATTTTTTTTTTAAAAAAATGAGCAGCTAAGGGCCCTGCACTGTGGCCTAGCAGCTAAAATCCTCACCTTGAATGTACCAGGATCCCATGTGGGCGCCGGTTCTAATCCCGGCCTCTTCACTTCCCATCCAGCTCCCTGCTGCTTGTGGCCTGGGAAAGCAGTCAAGGATGGCCCAATGCTTTGGGATCCTGCACCCGTGTGGGAAACCTGGAGGAAGTTCTGGCTCTTGGCTTTGGATTGGCACAGCACCAGCCTTTGCGCTCACTTGTGGAGTGAATCAAACGGAAGATCTTCCTCTCTTATTTCTCCGCCTCTCTGTATATCTGACTTTGTAATAAAAATAAATAAATCTTTTAAAAAAATGAACAGCTAAATAATATACTAAATTCTGCTGATATCTGAGGAGAACTCAAAGCTGAAAAGCAGGCTATTTTTTCTGGGGACCTAGTTACAAGTAACTGAGGGGAAAAAAAGAAACTTCAGGATTCCCTTTTTCTATTTGTGAATTGGGGCATTAATGATATGTTTAATCTCTGAAGCTTCAAAAAAAATTTTTTTTCTCATACTAACAAATTTAAGTTAAAATCATTAGATAGTTAAGATCCACTTAGAGAGGCTGGTTTTGTGGTTCAGCAGTTTAAGCCACCTGCAGCGTTGGCATCCCACATGAAGAAAAAGTTCAAGCCCTAGTTGCTCTACTTTTGCTCCAGCTCTCTGCTAATGCATCTGGGAAAGCAGTAGACGACGGCCTAAGTGCCTGGGCTGCTGAGACGCGCCTGGCTCAGCCTTGGCCACTGCAGCCATTTGGGGAATAAGCCAGCAGAAGACATGTATCGTTCCCTCCGTTAACAATGCCTTTCAACTAATTAAATAAGTACGTGTTTTTAAAAAGGACTTTTGCTTACAATGTCATAAAACTACGTATTCTACAAGCTTCAAAAATATCTTACAGCTGGTAATCCTTGTCTTATTTTTAAATCCATTTTTCTTTAATCTTAACAGTTCACAAGTTTTAAGCAACAAGAGTTAACAATGCTTTAAAAGAGTCAGCAACTTAAAAAAAAAACCCTTAGAATTCAACCTTATGCCCAACTATTCTGAATTTATTCATTTAAAGTCAACTAATTTCAAAAAGTTTTATCCAGAAACCACTCAAATTTGTGTGGTGTGCCACACCTGTCACTCAGTTTTTAGAACACACACGTGCTGGGAGAGGATATGTGAACCCTTCCACTGCATTTTCCCAACAGAAAAGACGCTAGCCCCACAGAAGACAATATTAGGTATTAGTTGTAGAGTCAGCTTAAAATTATGCTCACATGAGATGATAAAAAGTCAAAATCAGCGGATGGAAGATCTTCCTCTCTTCTCTCTGTATATCTGACTTTCCAATAGAAATAAATAAATCTTAAAAAAAATTAGAGATACGTTTATTTTTATTGAAAAGGCAGATCAGATCTATGGAAAGGAGAGACGGAAAAATCTTCCATCTGATGGTTCATTCCTTAGATGGCTACAAAATCCAGAGCTGAGCCGATCTGAAGCCAGGAGCCAAGAACTTTCTTTGGGTCTCCCAAGTGGGTGCAGGTCCCAAGGCTTTGGGCTGTCCTCGTCTGCTGAGGATGAGACCCAGCACACAGCATAGATAACATGCCCAAGCATTCAGCCCTAACAGCTCGGTTCACCAAAGGAACTTTTAGGTCATCAGAAAAGACAGACACTATAGGGGCTATGACGGTGGACTTGACAGGCTTGTCAACAAACCTGCACTTTCAGAAATCACTCTGGCCTGAGAAGGGACGGGAAACAGGGACACAGGAGACCAGCAAACAGTACAGGCAAACGATGCAGTTCTAAAGCCGAGGAACAGTGAGGATGGACAGTTCCTTAGAGGAATTCCAAATCCCCAGCACACATAGGTGTGCAGTACCAGGGATCCGTTTCTCAAGGGAAGGCCTGGGGGACGTGAGATGAGGGAAAGGAAAGATCAGAACCACTGCTCGGGGTTGTCAGCAGGTTGGTGACCTGCACCCAAACGCTGCCCAGAAGGGCCAGACTTGAGAGGCAAGATCAACTCCACACGGGACAGGCCAGCCTGGAGACAGAAAGGCTCAACTCTGAACAAGTCAGGAAGTCAATAAAAACATGAGGCCAACATAAAGATATGCAAGTAGACAAAAGCATAGGGATCCTGGACGTGACTGGACCACTTCAGAAGCAGCATGACAAGACAACAGAGGTCAGAAGCCTGGGGCAACAAACATTTATAGGGGCACATCCAGGAAATAACTAGCGAAGAATGAAACAAATAACAGAAAAATAAAGTCAAGATGAAAAGGAGCTGCAACTGCCAAATACTCCTGAGAGTCCGTTTGAGTTCTGGCTTCTCCACTTCTAATACAGTTCCCTGCTATCATACCCGAGAGAGCAGAAGGAGGGACCCAAATGCCTGGGCCTCTGCATCCATGTGGGAGACCCAGATTAAATTCTGGCTTCCTGGCTTTGGCTTGGTCTAAATCCAGCCATTGTGGCTTTTTGGGGCGGGTGGCGGGGGAGTGAACCAGCAAATAGAAGATCTTTCTGTCTTCCTCTTTCTCTGTCACTCTATCTGTCAAATAAATACACAAATCCTACCAAAAAATAATAATAATAAAAAAAGAGGGTACGAGCATGTTTCTGTGCAAAGGCGCATGCAGAGACCAGGTGGTAGGGGTCAGGGCATGAACGGGAGGTGAGCGAGCAACAAGGGCGGACAGAGGAGGGGAGACACACTGGCCGTCCAGGGCTCACGACGGTAGGGCATGCTTCCCTCCTTGGACATCAGAAGGGAGCCCCTGCCCTGCTGACCTCGGGCTGTGCTCTCCATACTGCTCTTCCCCCGAGTCTGACAGCCATCACTAAAAGGCAGTCACATACTGATTAACGAAGCAAACTGTTTCCTTGGTGTCCATAAAAGGAGCCTCTAGAATGAGGTTCTTCTTGGAATGAAATGCAAAATGAGCACCCTAACAGATAATCTGCATAAATTCTAAATAATATGAAATAAAGTTTAATGCAAATTTGAAAGCATGCAACAAATCAAAATGTATACTTACAACTAAATCATCTGTCACTTTAATACACAAACTCCCATCAGAATGTCTATATTTGAGAACCACACGTGCCTAAAAAATGAAAATACATATTCAGCATCAGTGAAGATACATGACATTTCTCATAAATAATTTGGGTGGGCTGAAAAGGACAGTTTTAGCATAAACACCCAAAACAGCTGAAGACATTTTCATGGAAATGACGGTTGTTTTTTAAACAAGCCACTTTCAGTTTACTACAACTTTTTAAGATTTATTTATTTATTCAAAAGGCAGAGTGACACAGAATGAAAGAGGGAGATCTTCCATCCACTGGTTCACTTCCCAAATGCCTGTAACAGTCAAGAGCTGGATCAGTTTGAACCCAGAAACCCAGGAACCCAGAAACCCAGGAACCCAAGGCTCTATCTGGGAATCCCATGTAGGTAGCAGGGACCAAGCATTTGGGTCATCTTCCTATGCTTTCCCAGGCCATTAACGGGGAGCTGGACTGGAAGTGGAAGGTGGGCCTAGCATCATGGCTTAGTGGCTAAATCCTTTCCTTGCAGGCGCTGGGATCCCATATGGGTGCTAGTTCATGTTCCAGCTGCCCTACTTCCTTTCCAGCTCCCTAACTTATCCTCTGGGAAAGCTGTTGAGGATGGCCCAAGTCCTTGGGACCCTGCACCTGCTTGGGAGACATGGAGGAAGCTCCTGGCTTCGGATCAGATCGGTTCTGGTTGTTGTGGCTATTTGGAGAATGAATCAGTGGATGAAAGATCTTTCAGTCTCTCCTTCCTTCCATAAATATTATCTGCCTTTCTAGTAAAAATAAAATAAACTAAAAAAAAGTAGCGGTGCAGACAGGAACTAATGCCAACATGGGATGCCAGCGTAACAAGAGATAGCTCATCTTATTTGCAGTCTGTGAGAACAGAGATGTACTGAAAATATCCCAAGCATATACATGCTCAGGGAATGTCTCCAGAGACCATAAAGTGACTTGGCATTGCTGACAGTAAGATTACATACCAACACCCTAGTCACACAGCAGGAACAGGAAAAGAAGGGGGAAAGTGAGCAGAATTGGTTAATTAAAAAGCCCAGGTGAGGGGCAGGTCTTGTAGCAAGGCAGGTTAAGCTGCTGACTGGGATGTCTACGCCCCAATACTCCAGTGCCTACGATGGAGTCCCATCTATTTGTGATCACAGCCTGGAAGAGGCACATCCCTGCTCCCCGCAGAGGAAACCGGAGTGGAGTTTCCAGCTCCCGGCTTTGGCCTGGCCTGGCTATTGTGGGTATTTGGGGAGTGAGCTAGCACATGGCAGAGCTCTCTGCCACTCTGTTACTCTTTCACACAAAATAATAACCCTTATATATACATGTCAAGGACCAGAAGAGGACATTTGGTCAAAGCAGTGAAGACCCCGCCTGGGTGGCCTGCACCCACGTCTGAATGGCTGGGCTCCACCTGCAGCTGTGCTTCGTTGCTGTTCCTGGGGAAGCATGTGGTGTGGCAGTAAAGACATAGCTTGGGACACTCACCTCCAGATCGGATCGCCCTGCCTCTGACCTGCTTCTGGCTAACCCAAGCCCTGGGAGGCAGTGGTGCTGGCTCACGTGACTTAGCTCCTACCACCCATGTGGAAGACCAGGACTGAGTTCTTGCCTTCGAGCTTCAGTTAGGCCCAACCCAGCTGTTGTCGGGATTCCAGGAGTGAACCTACACAGCAAAGATCCTTCTCTGTCTTTCAAATATAAAAATAATTGCTTTTATTTCAGTGTTATATGCACCCTGGGAGGCAGCAGGTGATGGCTCAAACACTTGGGTCCCACCCCACCCACCCAGAAGATCTGAATTGAGTTCCCAGCTCCCAGTTTCAGCTTGGCCCAGCCATGGCTGTTGCAGTATTAGGGATTGAACTAGCAGGTGAGGCTCTGTCTAAAATAAATAAAAAGCAAAAATCCATGCCTTGGGAACCTACTGTGGTCCAGTTCATACTTTCCACAGATCTCAGAAGGTAAATATAGCACAAAGTATCCACCAAAATTATGCCCTTATTAGGAAGGCAATACATGATGTTTTATTATATAAAAGCAGAACTGGGCCTTGAAAAATCTCCATCACATACTTTTCCAAAACTAGAATAATTCTTATGGAGTGTCATGCTGCAAAAATGCTTTCAAGGTTTAGTATTTCAGTCAGGCAGTCAAGATACTCTTTGCTTACTTACTTTATGTACATACATATTTTTAAAAGATTTTTTTTTTTAATTGGAAAGTTAGATATACAGAGAGGAAGATCTTCCATCTGCTGATTCATTCCCCAGGCTACTGCAACAGCTGGAGCTGCGCCAATCCAAAGCCAGGAGCCTCTTCCGGGTCTCCCACATGGGTGCAGGGTCCCAAGGCTCTGGGCCATCCGCGACTGCTTTCCCAGGCCACAACACAAAAACACTACCTGTAACATGCCTGGCCTATTGAAGGCACTCAACACAATTCAAAGTCCAGTCACCCTCCTTACTCATCTCCTCTCCTAGTAAGACAAGTTTATGATGCAAAAGTTTTTAGGCCACTGCAATGCTGTCTAGGTAAAGAACTAAAAAGGCCTCCTCTGGTTGGGCATGCTCTGTTCACCATGATGCTCCATCATTTTTTCATCTTCCTACATTACTATCACAATTTTTTCTTTTTAAAATAAGATTTATTTTTATTGCAAAGTCAGATATACAGAGAGGAAGATCTTCCGTCCAGGGATTCAATCCCTAAGCAGCTTCAATGGCTGGAAGTGCGCCGATCCGAAGCCAGAAGCCCAGAGCCTCTTTCAGGTCTCCCAGGCAGGTGCAGGGTCTCAAGGCTTTGGGCCGTCTTTGGCTGCATTCCCAGGCCACAAGCAGAGAGCAGAATGGGAAGCAGGGCTGCTGGGACACGAACCCATGTGGAATCCTGGCATATACAAGGTGAGGCTTTAGCCACTAGGCTACCACACTGTGCCCTACTATCACATTTTTAAACTACTCCTAGAGGGGATGGGACAGCATGGCGGTGCCATGGCATAGTACATAAAGCCTCTGCCTGTGGTGCTGGCATCCCATATGGACGCTGGTTTGTGAGCCAGCTGCTCCACTTCTGATCCAGCCCTCTGCATGGCCTGGGAAGGCAGTGGAGGACGGCCTGGGTTCCTGGGCCCCTGTACCCATGAGGGAGACCCAGAAGCTCAGGGTCCTGGCTTTGGATCAGTTCAGCTCGACATAATGGCTATGTGGGGAGTGAACCCGGGGATGGAAGATCTGTCTTTCCTCTCTCTATATATAAATCTGTCTTTCAAATAAAAACAAACCCCCCACTGAGGATGGAAAATCTCTCTCTCAGAAATAAAAATAAATAAACCAAAAATATAGCCACTCTTACACAAGCTTTATATTTTTACCTGCCTTTTCTTTTTTCTTTTTTTAAGATTTATTTATTTATTACAAAGTCAGATATACAGAGAGGAGGAGAGACAGAGAGGAAAATCTTCCGTCCGATGATTCACTTCCCAAGTGAGCGCAATGGCCTATGCTATGCCGATCCAAAGCCAGGAGCCAGGAACTTCTTCCGGGTCTCCCACATGGTTGCAGGGTCCCAAAGCTTTGGGCCGTCCTCAACTGCTTTCCCAGGCCAGAAGCTGGGAGCTGGATGGGAAGTGGAGCCACTGGGATTAGAACCGGTGACCATATGGGATCCCGGCGCATTCAAGGTGAGGACTTTAGCTGCTAGGCCACGCCGCCGGGCCCCTTTACCTGCCTTTTCAAATACTTTTTAGTTTGTATCATGTACTTCTGGACAAAAGTCCTGTATGTTCTCATGGTTTACAGCCTGCATGAAGAAACAAACAGGAGGTATGACGCAGCGGCATCACAGGGCTGGCATCCCACAGGGGTGCTGGTTCATGCCTCAGCTGCTTCTCTTTCGGGTCATAAATTGCTCAATTTCAAAACAACCCAACACATCACTTCCGTGAACAGCACTAAATGAGTGAAGCTGAAATGATGATAAGTCATTTCATGGACTAAGGTTCCATAACTTCTTGCAACTTACCAAGGCCTTTCTGTGGGTTGAAGCCTATAGTTAATCCTAATATCAACAAAGCTTGCTGCAGTCTGTTGCTGCTGGCGGTGAGCACGTGGAAGAGGGGGCACACAGCTCCAGGGCTCCAGCCCATCCGTACAGGTCTCACCCAGGAAGCCAGATGTACCAAATGCCACGAGTTTTTTCTGCTCTGAGGAGCAGCTTTGTGACGTGGGTGGATCAGCAGCAGCCTCCAACACCAGCTCTTTCTGGGCTGAAGCCCACCCCTGTGTCCCACCCCCACGTGACTGGGACACAAAGGACAGGACTGAGCTACAAGGAGGACCACGAGGGCATCAGACCAGCCCTCGGTGCTCCACTGGGATGCCCGCCTGCTGTCAGGCGTACTCTCGTCGTTTTTCTTTACAGCAAGCTCCGTTTCACTCTTCAAAATACAAACAGGGGCTGGCGCCATGGTTCAAGAGGCTAACCCCGATCCCATATGGGTGCCAGTACGTGTGCTGGCTGCTCCACTTCCCATTCAGCTCCCTACTTAATGGCCTGAAGACCTAGGGACGCTGCGCCCACGTAGGAAGAAGCGTGGAGGAGGAAGGGACAGGAAGCCCGAGTCGCGGCGGGGAGGAGCCCCGGGCTGAGACACGTAGCCCAACTGAGCGGCGGGGAAGCTCAGGGGCTGCGGGGGACTGAAATGACCCTGACTGTCCGACCAGGGCCTCGCTGGACAGCCGGCTCAGTGAAGCAGCAACGACCGTCCTCCGCTCAATCCCGGCACCTCCTCGCGAGTGCTGAAGAGTCTCCGGGAGGACGAGCGGACAGCAAGGACACCCTGACCAGGAGGTGCGGTGGCGGACGGCAGGGAGGACACCCTGACCAGGAGGTGCGGTGGCGGACGGCAGGGAGGACACCCTGACCAGGGGGTGCAGTGGCGGACGGCAAGGAAGACACCCTGACCAGGGGATGCGGTGGCGGACGACAGGGAGGACACCCTGACCAGGTGTGGTGGCGGACGCAGTCCCGCCGGTCACTTACCTTCATGGGGTCAGCAAGGTAGAGCTTCTCGGCCGCGCGGCTGAACTCCTCCCATGTCTGGTACTGAGGCATGGTAGTGGATCGGGGAAGAGAGAGAAGCAAGCCGCGGGGACCGCAGGCTGCGCCCGCCTGCCCACCTGCTCTCGGGACCTCCGGCCGCTGCACCGTACCAGCCGCCCAAGATGGTGGTAGCGCCTCCTCGCACCAACGCCTCGCCCCATTGGGCAACGCTGACCTCGCTCGCCCAATGGACAGCAGGGATGCTGCCAGGCAGGGGGTGGAGCCCCGGGATGTTGGCGAGCGGGGAGGCGGTGGCGGCGGCCACAGCGTCCCCTGCAGCACTGGAGGAGCGGCGTCCGTCCCTCTGGGGTGACTTCGTGCGCCCCAGAGGAAGGAATGGACAGGTCCATCCGTCACGGGCACTGGACGGATTGGGGAAGACACAGCACGAGTGTAACCGGAAACTTTATGTAACGTGGATCGGTGGCGCAACAAGGAGCCATGATCACTTTCGTGACTGGCTTGGGGCAAAGCTCACAGAGGTGAAGAGGAATGAGGGTGGGTGTTGGGGATAGGGGAGCCCCTAAGACAAGAGCAGGGCTCGGCACGGTAGCCACTGCACCCCCGTGGGAGACCCAGAAGAAGCTCTTGGCTTGGAATCAGCTCAGCTCTGGCCGTTGTGGTCATTTGGGGAGTGAACTAGCGGGTGAAAGGGCTTTCTCTCTGTCTCTCCCTCTGTACATCTACTGTTCCAATAAAATAAGATAAATCTTTAAAAAGAAAAGACAGACCGAGGCCTTGCCTCGCTGAGCTTACCACTGATTTCCGCGGTGACAGTCCCGTCATCCGGACCCCTAAGAGAGCCAGAGGACTCAGGTGGTACCATCAGGTGCCAGAGGACTCAGGTGGTACAATCAGATGCAGTCTTCAAGCTGTGGAACTGCAGGTACAAAACGTCACCCGAGAATGTCTTTTAGGAATTGCTGACGCAATGGCAGAAACAAGCAGATGCACTTCTGCTCAAGAAGAGCAGCGCCTCCACCGCCGTTGTGGTTAGTCCTGCTGTCCTCACACCCCCAAACCCCCCCACACCCCACCCACCCCGCTGCACGTGTCTCATTTGAACCTGTCAGGGTGGTCCGTGAGCCTCATCACAATTCCAAAAAGCATCTTGGTGACTCCGTCAGGGGAAACTGAACCTGACCGCAAGTGAAATTGCCTGGTCACCGTCCTCCTAGGCATACCTGATGACAGGGCATAGCCCAGACTCTCTGCATGGCAACACGGCAGCACGTGCCTCGTGTGACCTCTGCAGACTCCCATGGACTGAGAATTCAGAAGCACCTGTGGCCCCAGAGATGCTGCACCCAGGCAACGTTCCTTTCCAGGTGGTAAATACACCAAAGCTGGCACACGCATGCCACTCCACAGACTGGTGCTGGGCTCTGCCCTGGACGGGGCCGTCAAGGGCACAGCTGAAGCTGTTGGGCACAAAGGGAAGCCATGTGATTCATTTAGACTTTTCAAAACTAGAGCTAGTGACAGTATGGAGGCTGCATGGTTGGAGCAGAGCCTGAACAAGCCAAAGCCCCATGCTTCCCTCTGCCTTCATTCATCCCACTCCCAGCTGAACCTGCTCTCTTTGGATCACCAACTGGTCTTCATATTGCTCATGCAACCCTTTCTTGATAATTCAACTACATTTAAGCCACTAGTCATTCTCTCATTTAAAAAAAAAAAAAGATTTTTATTTGAAGGGCAGAGTCAGAGAGAGGAGAGACACAGAGAGATCTTCCATCCACTGATTCACTTCCCAAATGGTTGCAACAGTTGAGCTGATCTGAAGCCAGGAGCTCTTCTTGATCTCCCACGCGGGTATAGGGTCCCAAGGCTTTGGGCCGTCCTCGATTGTTTTCCCAGGCCTCAAGCTGGGAGCTGGATGGGAAGTGGAGCAGCTGGGACATGAACCGTTTGGGATCCTGGCATTTGCAAAGGAAGGAATAACTAATTGAGCCATTGTATCCAGGCTGTGATGCCTCCTTTTATTCAACTTTTTTTTTTTTTAATGACTACTGTTGGTAACTTACTAGCTACTCAGATACTATATTTGCCTGCCAGGAATTCAATCACAGTGCATTGCATGGGCCAGTCATTGTGTGGAGCTATGTATTTTATAAGCTAATGAGGTCAGGGGCAGAGATAATAAGACAAGTTCACAAGCACCTATGCCTTCAGGCAGACTGGGTGTGACACAGCAAGCCTGGGAGTCCCAGTGAGTGCTCGCTCTCCCTTGGGTTGTCCTCTAGCTCCAGGTCTTTTCCTAAAGGACAGCAGAACATGGGGGAAAAAAAAGACTGTGTTTGAGAGAGCAATAACTGTTCTTGAAGCCCTTCCTTTTGCTCGAAGCATTGTCTTCTAAGCTCCTGGGTGAAGCCATGGTGGACTGATTGAAGCAGGTAAAGGGTGTGGCTGCCAGCGGGAAAACATGTCCTCGTGCTTATTTTCACACACCACGTATTGATTGAGTGCACTGTGTGCCATGAGTCAAAGGAGACTTTGTACCCTTGTGCACCGCTCCAGGTTTCATGGATTCAGTGCCACGCAGGCAGGGTAAGACAAACCTTCTGAGAGAAGCCAACCAAGAAACCGGTTAGCTCAGTCGTGACCCACATACAGAGGGCAGCGTGTGGAGCTGGGGCAGTTTTGCCTCAGTGTCCAGCAGAGGGCAGTGGTGTGCAGTCAGTCACACAGACACAGTGGCACACAGCTTAGGCGCGAAGGTGCTGATGGATTGGTTCTCCTTTCTTTCACCAGAGGCTGGATTTCATGAATGCCTTATGAGCACCTATGCCGGAACTGTCACCCTAATAAGGGTACTTCACTGACTTGCACAAAGATGTTTCCGGAGAGCTCCTCAAGGAGAGCAAAGAGGGAACGCGGATCAGGCAAGTCTACACGCCTGGGAGAACTGAGCATGGATGGAGCTCCTGCTGTCCCAGGGCACAGGAGGGGGAGGGGAGGTTGGGTTGGGAGGGTGAGATCCAAGTATTGCCTCCCCTAGCAAGTGTTTTGGAGGAATCAGGAGATCAACCCATTACAAGGCAGAACATGCAATGCTGCCATAGTTCTCTCTTATATGTTTGTGGGTGCAGCACAGCTGAACCTCAGGGACCCACAGTGGGTGCTTCCCTGGATTCCAATTGAGCCCTGGAGTTACCTGGGAATGGAAGGATCGCCTTGGGCCTGGGGACTGAGCCCAGTGGTCAGAGGGAACGGTGCAGAGATGGAGGTCACACAGCGAAACCAAACCTCTTCAGGCCAGAGGTAAGAGTCCAGGCTCCCTGCACACACCTGTGACCAAGGCTCCCCCTCTTCATGCATCTCGGAGTTCTCAGAGGCTTCTCTGACCCTGGCCTGGCTCCCTTCGCTCTAAGGCTGCTGATATTCCCATACTGTGGGCAGGTCAACAGACCTGGAAGGTGAAACTGATGTCAAGCAGATGGAACACATCTCAAAAAAGTAGCAAGAGGAAAAGACTATGATATTTTTTTTCTTCCAAGGGTGTTGAGCAAGAGAGAACAGGCTGTGATTGAACCCTGGGGATCGGAAAGGCCACGCTCAATGCAGCCTGCTCTGAGGGAAGCTGGGTTAGGCCAGCTCAAATGCTGCCCAAACTTTTCTGCTGCTGGCCGCCCCAGAGGCCAAAGATGAGGGCATGACATTCCACAGGGGCTGTCTTGTCAGTTGCATCTGAAACTGATTAAAATGAAATGCAAACCCAAGTAGCTGGAAGAAAAGGTCAGGGTTTTAGCCCCACATGTCCCCTTTCTCTCCTACCTTCACTCTCTCTGTCCTCCTCTTGTCTTTCCTCCTCTACTGCGCTCGCTCTCTGGCCCCAGTCCCATCAAGGCTCCAATTCCCCTCCTCCGCAGGCAGCCCCACACTACCCAGAAACCCCGCAGAATGGCCCCATTGTAGACCAGACAAACCAAAATAGCAGCACCTTCTGTTCTACACCTCGGGGAGATTCACTTAAAACCCCCTGAGTCCCAGATGTGGACAACAATGCAAGTTGTTGTTGCGAATCAGTATCCTGGAACCCAAGAGAGGCAGGTACAGGGAACAGCCAGCGTGGTGAGTCCGGTGGTAGAGAGAGAGAGAACAATTGGGCAGTCTCTCCATTAGCCCAATTAGCAAACTCTGGCAGGGATTTTGTGCTTTGCCAAATCAGTATGGTAGGGAGGTAGGGAAAGCAGCCAGTGGACTTGAGGGTGGGGGTTAAGGCGAAGAAGCCAGTGCTTTGCTGTTGGCATGGAAGGGCAAGCGGTACAACTAGTCATTTCTATGCTGGCAAATCGCATTTTTATCTTTTTTTTTCTTTTAGTGTTCTGGATTTTTAAAAATTATGCCCTGGAGCGTTAGGATGAACCGTATTTGCATTAATTAATAAATCAGATGACATTCGCACTCAGCAGTGGCTCTGTGGTGGCGGCACCCTGGGTGGCCTGGGAACGGTGAGTGCGGCGTGTTGATTGATCACAGTTGTCACTTCCTCAGTCACTCAGTCCCACAAGTCAATCAGGTCTACCAGGTGAATAAGGCATGTCCAGGTAGAGGGGTACTTATTGTCAAGGCCTCAGTTCTGCTCCGCCCCTGTGCAGGTTAACAGGGACAGGATAATCGGGGGTTGGGGGGGAGGAATCAAGAAAAGTTGCATAGAGGAACTGAATTTTGGAAACCAAGGTCAGGTTATGGCATACGGAGTGGCCGGGCACAACAAGGGTATAAGAGAAGGCATGAAAGTCAAGCTTTTAGGAAGCAGGTGCAGTCACTTCTCCAGGGAAAGGTGGAGGTTCCGGGAATGTGGCAGTGGTCTTCATGGCAGAGACGCCCAGAATGGCCGGGTGGGGGCAGAAGGCAGAGGAGTGGACAGTGAGGAGGGCAAGCGCAGTAGGAAAGGTGCTCCCACCCCTTGGATCCCCTTCCTTTTTTAGAGGCCCCAGGGTTAGGAGCCGGCCTGGCAGCTCAGTGTGGTCACTGGGACTGTAGGGAGCAGCCAACCAATAACCACGGCTTTCCTGAGACGAGGCCTGGAACCTACCAAGATCTCCAGGTGACCATGGAAGGGCAGAAGGAGAAAGCAAATGCACAGAAGAAGAAGGAATGACCAGTTAGATTCCTGCC